TCGGGAGCATCTCAAGCAGCGTGGATGAGGTTGTGACCGTGAGCCAACGAGGGGAGATGGGCAAACACTCCGTTCTGTTGTTAGTAAACTAAACGTCCTCTTCTGATTGTAATCGAGGTCCTGTACCAGCCTCAGGTCCTGAGGGTGGAAAGAATAACCTGGTTTATCCAGCAATAGGTTTACCTAACCTACATTATCTATTCCACTTGCTGGAGGAAACCCTGATGAGAGGAGGTATCACCAGAGGGTTGTACTTTGTGCCTCCACTTCCTTCAGTCCTTTAAACCCTCAGTTTTGAGTTGTGTCTCCCAGTGGTAGTCAGCTGCCTGTGGCTGCTCGGTGCCTGTGCCAGTGTTATGCTGCTGGGAGAGAAAGGTGCTGCCGAGTCCTCCTGGCACCGCCGGTGCCGTCCTGGTGCTCGGTGGTGCTGGGTTTTGGCAGTGCTCTGCATGCCTGAGAGTGGAGTAACTCCTGCTTGTGGAGTTAGAGCCTAGATTGGATGCAGACAACACACAGAAAACTGAAAAATCTATTGCAGACACTTTGTTTATTGCACATCTTTTATATACAAATGAAGGTCAGCTACTCAACTGCTCAGTGTAAAGGTTGAGTTTGAGGTCTTTAGGGATCCTCCTATTAACTGTCTTTGCTGTTTTTTTAATTACAGGCAAGTGTCCTGGGGCTTGCTGGAGCAGCAGGAGTGGCCAGAAGAAAAGAAAAAAGCTGTTGGTGCTGCTCTGAAAATCCCTGTTTGGAAAGGATTGGGAAGGTGGAAACTTGGAAGCCCACAAGTGAAACGGGGCTATAAGAAAATGATTTATTTTCAGGATCTGGATGTAGGAATTTCAAACATCAGAGGTAGTTTGGGGCAGGGTATAACAAGAATTATCTGTACAGTTCTTTAATTGTTAATCCCTTCTCACTGCTTGTTTAAAATATATTTTATGTGACCTCAATTAAACTTATTTGTGTTTAAACTTGCTCAGTTTGGTTTTCATTATCTTATAAGGCTTTGAAAGTCACATTGAAATATTGTCTATTGGAGACTGGAGAGGCCACAGTGCAGCACCTACTCCCTTCCCTGGGCTTGGGGGAGGTGAAGCCTGCAAAAAACATCTGGAAAAGGCTGATGAATATGTAAAATCCATGGAAACTGGTGGGGAGGGCAAGATTGTCATCAGGGATTCAGGCAAAAATGGTGTTTAAATGCAAAAGTCAGAACAAAGGAGTGTATTGCTCCCTCCAAAATAGAGATGAGAGATTGGATCTCATTTCCATTTGGATTCCATACAGTCTGTATTTGTGAAATAATCCAGACTTTTGAAGTGTTTTAGGCTAAAACTTTTAGTTTTTAAGAAATAGTTCGGTAGTCTTTGGTCACATCACAGTTACCCTGCTGTAGATGCTCCTGTGGCTGCAGTGCTGTCTATATCCCAGTAAAACTTGGAAGCAGGGACACAGGCTGCTGTGGGACAATTTGCTGCTCCAGGAGCATGAACAGCCTCAGGGAATTCAGGTTGTTGAGGCTGAAGCTAGTAGGCTGAGGCTGTTGATGAACCACATCAGGCTGGTTCCCCTGCTGGTTTATATCAAATAGGTGCTTCTGTGCTGGTTGGAAAAATGAATTGCAGTGCAGATTTTTTTTTCAGGGCTTTCCTAATTTTTAAATATCCCTGTTCACCCATGAGCCTTTCTGCCATCTCAATATCCCAATCTTAATACACAGTTTTTATACTGCACATGGAAATAATTGTTAAAATACTCAAGATTATTGGGAAAAAAGCTTTTTCTTGGTTGAAACCTATGACATCCATGAATTTCACTGTTTCTGTGGGAACAAATCCTGCCTGTAATTTCCCATGGGTTTACATTTTGCCCAGCGATCTCCCCCTATCCCAGATGGGTGCCCCAGGACAGGGTGCCTGCCTGCTGACAGCCAAGGAACACTCACTGTGCCAGGGGGCTTTGCTGCTGGACCTGGTAATTCCAAAAGTGGCAAAAAGTGGGGAATATGGGCTCTGTCAGCCACATAAAGCAAGTGTTTTATAGAACAACAAATACATGCTGACAGGCTTATTTCCTAAAAAAAAATCTCTGCAAAAAAGCTCTATAATATTCATCTTGGCTGAATGTAGGACTTGTAGGCCTGGTTGTGCTGTACAAAAAGGCAGGAGGAAAGGATGGAGGAAGTGTTGGCAGTGGTGAGTATCCCATCAGAGGAGCTGGGAAGGGCTGCAGAGCTCTGCTCAGTGAATGCCTCCCGCACTACCAGAGCTCTGCTGAGCACCTGCAGCTCTCAGAGTCCTGCTTTTCCCCCATCACAGAATGGTTGGGTTGGAAGGGACTGTGAAGATCATCCAGTCCCACCCCCTGCCATGGGCAGGGACACCTTCCACTAGCCCAGGTTGCTCCAGCCCGTCAACCTGCCTTGGACACTTCCAGGGATCCAGGGGCAGCCACAGCTTCTCTGGGCAACCTGTGCCAGGGCCTCACCACCCTCACAGGGAACAATTTCTTCCCAATATCCTATCTAGCCCTGCCCTCTGGCAGTGGGAAGCCATTCTCCCTTGTCCTGTCCCTCCAGGCCCTTGTCAATAGTCTCTCTCCATCTTTCCTCTTGGTTCCTTCAGGCACTGGAAGGCCACAATCAGGTCACCCCAAAGCTTCCATTCTTCAGGCTGAACAATCCCAACTCTCCCAGCTTTTCCTCCCAGCAGAACTGCTCCATCCCTCTGACCATCTTGGGGCCTCCTCTGGCCTCTCTCCAGCAGCTCCATGTCCTCCCTGTGCTGTTCCCCAGGGCTGGAGCAGCTCTGCAGGGGGGTCTCAGCTGAGGGGCAGAGGGGCAGAATCCCCCCTGCCCTGCTGCCCACGCTGGGGGATCAGCCCAGGGCACGGGGGCTTCTGAGCTGGGTCATGTCCAGGCTTTGTGCACAACTGGAAAATAAAACACACAGGGATGTCATAAAGCTTCTCCAGTGGTCAGCGCGAGCACAGGCTCCGGGATGTGGAACTCAGGGTGCCCCTGCAGCCCTGTGTTAGCAGGAAGATGATGGTCAGCACTGTGCAGCTCCTTCTGCAGCACAAAGACAATCAATAAGGGTCAAAATGATTCACCTCTCCCTGGCTTTGGTGCCTTGACTGAAGGACAACAAAGAAAATTGGGAGAAAACCCATGTAGTCCAAGACTGGCATTGAAATAAAGCCAGGAAACGGAGTAGTACCCGCATTTTGCATGTTGGAAACGCCAACACGATATATGGTTCTGTTTATTAGCACCATACATTTTGCAATCCATATATGACTTCTACTGGGCAAAAGTGGCTGGATTGCTTTACCTTGGCTCTGCTTTTACTGCTCTGCAGTACTGGAGCAAAGGAGGATTGTTAACTGAGATTTATGTGCTTGTTTTTAAACACTTAATTGTTTTTTATTCTGAGCTTGTTAAGAGCTGAATTTCTTGTGATTGTTCTGAGTATTGTTCAACACGTATTTTGTACTAATCCCATTTTTTAAAAATACCTTCGGTGTTATTGTTTCATTGTGCTCTGCAGCCACATGTAGAGAAGAAAAACCAGCCTATGATGAATTAAAAAGGCAGATTTTTTCCTTTCCCCTGGAGATTTCCCTGAATTCATACGCACACCCTCCCCTTTGTAAAGCGATGATGGAGAGACTGGTTCTTTAGCCACAAAATTAAATAGGGAATAAAGATATTCACTATGAAAGAACTCCAAATAAGAAATAATTGCCCAGTTGTACGAGTACTTTGGTGATAAAGCACCGATTTCGTGAGGGCAGAGGCAAGGGGACCTCTCCTCAGCCAGCACCAGGTGGCAATGTTGGATTAGAGGAACAGCAAAGCCTCGCACACTGGCTGCGGCGGTTTTTTACCAGAATCTTCTAAAGAACCACAGAGTCACAGGGAGCCCATAATTTTAACTGTTTTAGCGATGGTGCCACCAGCGTTCTGCTGAGGAGAGCGCGCCTTGGCTGGGCTGGGTGCGCGGGTCCGGTCCGGGCGCTGAGGGACCGTGTGTGCCCTGGGGCACAGAGAACACTGCTTCAGGAATCAGAGGATACCCTGGATACCCTGGGCACTCTGGATGCCCCGGATACTCTGGATCCCCCGGATACCCCGCAAATCGCTGCTGGCGATGCCGCTCCCCGGGCGGGGGCTGAAGGGGGGACTCAGAGCAGCACTCCCGCCCCCCCCGCCGAGGAGGGGGCGTGGTCGCCGCCTCGCCCCGCCCCCGCGCCTTTCCCATGGTGCTCCGCGGGAGCGCGGTAATGAGCGGCGCGCGGGCGGCGGCTGGCGGCGCGCGGTGCGGCCGCGCTCTCGCGAGAGCAGGGTGAGCGGCCCCCCTACCCCCACTCTCGCGAGACCCCCGCGGGGCGGGCGCCCCCCCCACTCCCACACCCCTCAGGGCGGCGGGGCGGCCCCGGGCAAGCGGCGGGAGCGGCGCGGGCACGGCACCGGGGCACGCACCGGGCACGGCACGGGGGGCACAGCGGCGCTACCGGACGCAGCGGGGCGGGGCCGCCGGGCACGTGAGCGAGCAGCGGGCAGCGGGGCGGGCGTGCTCTCGCGAGCGCGGCGAGGCGCCGCGCGGGGCTCGCGCAGCCGCCTCAGTCCCTTCCCTCCCTCCCTCAGCCCCGGCCGTGGCGTCGTGTCGTCCGTTCGTCCCTCCCCCGCCGCCGCCGGCCGCCGCGCTGCGTTGCGCGGGCCCGCAGGTAGGAGCGGAGCGGCGCCCGGCGCCCGCCGGGTGCGGGGAACCCCCCTCGGGGCTCGGCCGGGCCCCGCGCCGCGGGGGGGGGAAGGGGTGGGTTTGGGGCATGCGCAGGCGGGACGCGCGGGGCGGGGGGGCGCGCGGGCCCGCGCTGGCGGGGCCGGAGCGCGCAGGCCAGGCGGCGCGCGGCCCCGCGCGCCTCCGCGCGCCCCCCGCCGGCACTGCGGGCGGAGCGGCCCGGCCCGAACAAAGCCCCGGGCCCCCGCGCCCCGCCCCGCCCGCACCCGCACCTCGGCCCCGCGGAGCTCGCCCCGAGCCGCCTCCAGCCGCGGCCCCTCCCTCCCCCCGTACCGCTCCATTAGGGTCAAAACCTGCGCGTTTTCATCTTAATCTGGCCTTAAAAATTAATGAATCGGGAGTCCTGACAGTGCGGCATCCGTTTGACCCCTCTTTCTACTCGGTTTCACTTTCATATAATTCAAACCCTGGTAACAAATCGAACTGCGGGGTTGTTTTCTTCTTCCTGTTCGGTTTTTTTTAATGTGCATACTCTGTTTCCAGAGTCAGAGTAACGAGATACAAAGTTCATCTGTGCTGCAAATAAGTAGAAGTTGAAAAGAACTTTCTGGGAGCCTGAAGAACTGGTTTGTTAAATGATAAATGAGGCATTTATGCTGTTGAAAGAAAGCTGAACCGTCCTACGGATTCTAAATGTGTGGCTTTTTTTCTGTCCAGGACGCAGACCTTTGGGAAAAAAGTATCTGATACTGGTTTAAACAATTTAATAGTCTTTATTCTTTTTAGTGAGCCTTAAATTCGTCAGGTTTTTTGAGCTGTAGATGGTCCTGACTTCCTAGAGTCAGATAAGTAGGAAGCAGCTCTGGTTGAAAACATAAGTTTCTTAAAGCAATCTGTGGAGTTTTTCTGAGAAGAGGAAAAGGTAATTTTTTCCCATACTTCTTTATAAAGAATCTATTGGTCCAGTGACTTAATCTTCCTATATTTTGACATATGTTTATATATTTAAGATTTTTATATATTTTTTTGAAATGTAGTGGAACATATTAACATTTCTAATGTATTACCAGGAAATTAATGAACTTCTGTCTTGAATTCCATCTAAAACCCCACCAAATGATTCATTACTGAATTACATAACAGGATTAAATGACACTCGAACCTTGGACATGTGTTTGTGTAGGGTAACCCAGTGTCTGTCCTTCTGCACTGTGTAAAAGCTGTTACAC